GAGAAATTGAATAACAAACCCACAAGTACCTACCATCCAGAAGGAATGTCATCATTTTCTTTCAGATCTTTAAAAAAAAAAAGAAAAAGATGAAGTCTCTTACAGCCACATCCATCTTCCCCTTCTGATTCCAAGGCAACTGCTTTTCTGAATGAGGTGTCTAAACTTTCCCACTGAAGTTTTTATACTTTCTGTACGTAAATAACATCAAGATAGTATTTTTAAAACCTGTGTAAGTGGCATACATTTCATCTTCAGTGACAGCTTGTTTTCATTCAAGGACCATCCACACTGACATTACCAATCAAGTTCATTCATTTGAACTTCTCAATTGTTTGCCATTTCATAAACAGGTCATAATCTCATAATCTATCCACTTCTTTGCTCATGAGAATTTAGGTGATTTCCAATTTCTCCTGCACACAAACAACTCAGCTGTGAGCATTCTCCTTGAACATACTGCCTGGGTTTCTCTTAGTGCATTCTCAAGCTCTCATGAGCTTATGAGTCACCTGAAAAACCCTGCTAACCACTGATTCTGATTCAGCAGGACCAACATAAGACCTGAGAGCTGCCAAGTTCTCCAGTGAAGCCCATGCTGCTACTCTGTGGTCCATGATTTGAGAAGTGAGATTCTAGGTCAGGGATTTTTGCTATATCAGTAGTGTTCTTTGATAAGATCTTAGGTGTGTCTTGAAAATTTTTAAAGATCATTAACTATTTTTGAAAGAAGTTCAAAGCACAGTAATTATATTATTTTACTCAGTTTTTTGATCAATATAACTTAAGTGTGCCAGGTGATAAAAAAAGTTTGAAAAACGCTGCTCTAGGTTTAGACTAGAATTGCTGGGTTGTAGAGTATGCATTCAACTTTCTTAAACATCATCACATTAAACCAGTTCTTGCTCCAGACACGTGGAAGTGTTTCCCTTTCTCCATCCTCACTAACACATGATCCTGTGACTTTTACCTTTTGTCAATCTGAAAGCATGAAACAAAATCATAAATCCTTAATTACCAGGACAATAATCACCTTTTCACATTTTCCAACTAATCAAGGCTTTTCCATTCATATAGTTTACCCATTTTTCTAATGAAGCAGATGTAAGCATGGTCCAAGGACCCTGGCAATCCCCCGAGATCCATTCAGGGGGTCTGCAAGGTCTCTTTTCAATTACCTACCCACGTCAGGCTGGATTTTCTTCTTCAAATACTTTAACTGAGACACACAGCAACATGATTGCAGAAGCAGGCATGAGAATTCACCTGTCTTTTATTAAGCTGAACATTAAAGAGATCCATAAAAATATAAAACAATGCCATACTTCTCCTTAAGCTTTTGTTTTAAAAACTAGGTATTTTCTATAATTACTTAAGAAGTATTTTTTCTAAATATTTAAAAATTTTCTCTATTCTAATTCTAATAAACATCAATAGATATAACCTATATAGCACCAAAACTATTTAAGGGTCTCAATTTTTAATAGTATAAAGGAGTCTTGAGACCAAAAGGTTCAGAATGGCTGTTCAAATTGCATGGCTGTCATTGTCTCTTTGATTCTGTACGAGGCTCTTTTGTTTTTTTTAATGTATTCTAGATACTAAACCTTTGACAGTTATGTGTGCTGCAAACATTTTTTCCCTGTCTGTAATTTGTCCTTTTACTTATGGTGCCTATTGTTCTACAAAGTCTTAGTTCTAATGTAGTCCTATTTTCCTATAGACATGTGTTCATGCACCTTAAAGAAATCTTTCCCTTTTGCAAAGTCAAGATAAATTTTACAGATTTCTCATTTAGAAGTTTTGCTTTTCATATTTAGGTCTTCAATCCATCTGGTTTATTTTGGGGGAAGGCTGAAAAGTTGTACATACCGTATTTTCATCATAAAGACAGCTTGTTACAATCTGTCAAAAAATCAAGTTCCCATATATGCATGGGCCTGTTTCTGGGCTCTTGATTCTCCCCAGAGATCTACTGACCAATATATTCTGGAACCAATCACATATTGCTTTGATTTTTTACAGGTTTATAATGTTTTTCTTTTTTCTTTTGAGACAAAGTCTCACTATGTTGCCCTCGGTGGAGTGCCATAGCATCACAGCTCACGGCAACCTCAAACTCTTGGGCTTAAGCAATTCTCTTGCCTCAGCCTCCCAAGTAGCTGGGACTATAGGCACCGACCACAATGCTGGCTATTTATTTGTTATACTTGTCATTGTTGTTTAGCAGGCCTGGGCTGGGTTTGAACCCACCAGCCCTGCTGTTGGTGGCCAGCGCCTTAACCACTGAGCTACAGGAGCCGAGCCAATGTTCTTTCATATTAACAGAAGTCCATACCTCTCCCTCTTGCTCTTTTTCAAAATATTTTGCTTCTTCTTAAAAGTAATGTTTTATCCCCATGTAACATATTTTGGGATATAACAGAAGGACTATTGGGCTTCCTATGCTATGAAACCAGAATCTGACAATCATCTCTATTCTGTCTCACCAATGCCAAGAGCCTATAATTTTAGTATAAAGACATCATATAAACTCAATAGACAAAAAATGGGCTAATTCGTATTGAGTAGTGATACTTCAGCATTGCAGATTATAGGAAACTGAACTTGCACAAAAAAGAAAATAGAAATACAAGGGTTAAAAGGTCCTATTTATTATTTTGTGTTGAAAGTTGGACTAGAATCAGTACCACAACACAGAACATTCTCAAGGTTTCATTCTAAAATGAAACTATAGCTTATTACAAAAATTTCATTTCCTATATGAGTTAAATAATAACTTCAGAGATAATCTTATAAAAACAGTAGTTTCCAATCTGGAAATTCTGTAAGGGACGATTTAGAAAATTAAAAACTTCTGATAAAATCCTTCTATAAGTCTTGTCATTATTCCAAAACACCAACATTGCCTCTCCAGCAACCAATAGGTCATTCTGAAATGAATGACCTTCCACTAAATTCGTTCACAGTTCTGCTTCTTCACTTTTGTGACCAAAGTCAGGAATCAGCCAAGGCTTGGCTGAGGCTAAGGATGCTGCTTCTGTTTTGGAACAGGGAACGTCTAAGTGGGCCTTAGGTGACCCCTAGCTTTGGAGCCATTGAATGAACATAGGGAAAAAAAGGGATTTCCCAATCCTTTCCTCCTAAAACCTTCCTTCTATGTATTTCCAGACCTGAGCTAATGTCAATGAAGACAGGTAGTTAGCACTGACCTTTAATGAGATAAACAGAAAATATATTTTAGAAAACTATTTTACCTCAGACAAAATATCTGCAAATTCACCAAAAATGATATTTTACCCTTGGCATAATATATATTCCTGTTTTCCTCTTCAGAAACAGTTTTAGGAAGCAAATTCCTATAAAAATTAATGCACTTTTAATTAACATGTATACTTCTGTCTGCAAATATTTTAATTGAAAAAGATTTCACTCATTTAAATTCAACAATATTTTGTATGAAGTTTTTGTGTTCAAAGAATGCCTTCACATATACTATTTTGACTTCCACAATGATCCCTACATGATAAATGGAGACAATAGTTTGCTAAGAACTGTGTTAAGAGATAAGGAAAATGAAGTTCTGAGAAGGTCTATCATTTCTCAACATTACGCAGGATTAGACATGACAACTGATGTTAATCTGAATAAATGTGGCAAGTAACTCCAAATACTCATATGAAGCATAAACGAATTGAATACCTGCATGGTCTGCACAGGAACAGTAAAGAAGGCCGGAGAGACATCTGTAGGCCATTCTCTGCCTTTCAGATGACTACATATTTTCTATTATATGTATAATAACATGTCTACTATATGTATACTAACATGTTCTTCTGTTTAATAATATTCCTATTCATAATTATGGCCAATTCATCTAGTTCAGATTAGAGGAAGGTAGAAAGTGTTCAGATGAAGCCTGGGAGAAGAAATGAGAATATACAAAACTGTCTGCTAATCCCCTTGAAGAGATCAAGAGGGGTGGGAGGGCAGAACTACTGGAAGAAATCAATGATGGCAGTTAGTAAGGAATAAAAAGGTACGCAAGTAAATAGACTTATCTAAACGGAAAAGAAAACAATTTAAATTAAGGTTCAAATGTGTATTTTTAAGTTAACACCACAGGATGAACCAGATTATCAAGCCCTTGCCCTTAGGGACTCTGGCATTTCAGAGCTTGTACGTAACCAAAGAATTGTTCATTTGATGATTCTAGGATATATGGAAAGTAGCAACGTCACTGAACAGAAAGTATACATTTCAAGCCAGTGAGTTTGAAGTCACTTTTAAGACCCACTGCCTACTTAATCCATCCTAAATAAAAACTGACTCATCACTGATCAATGTACTTGGTTACACTCAATTATAATGATTCTCCATTTTTCTTTAAATACTCATCATTGCTACAAAATAGACAGCATAAGTATTAGCCCTATCCCCAAATATTTCATTAAGAAAGTTTTTCTCCACTGAATGATGGAAAAAAGCAGAATAAACCTTTTGAAAATAGTGAAGAAAAAAACTCAATGAAGAGCACCTCCCTTGTTAAAGGCAGTAAACACTCTGGACCATCTGCTACCTGCTCCATCAGGCTTTACAGCTGTCACGTGCCTAGAGCAAGGAAGTGCCATGTAAATTAATTTGCTTCCACCTCCATAATCCAAATTGGAGCAAAAAACCAAAAGATGTCTCTTGGTGATAACTACAAGTAAAATATCAAATTACAGCAACACACTCAAACCTTTAAGGGATTGTTCTTGAAAGACATTATGTATGTTCAATTCGTTCCTACCTACCACTGTAATCAACAACTGGTTATTCAGAAAAAAAATTTAAAATCAGAACTGGAGTCATGGTGTTGGGTAGAAAAAAAATCTATAATGAATTTAAAGAGATCTAGGTTTTTGCCAGATTATGAAGCATAAAAAATACAAAATAATTAAATAAATTAAGAATACTTAATGTGCAATTCACAAAATAAAGCAGAAAGGGGCACTTGCTATGTGTTAAAATAATTTAATTCTCCCTGTACATTTCTGTCCACATGAACCAGCAGCAATCAAGAATACACACTTTACAATATTTACCTGTTCTGACATTCAAGTCAATTCAGATGGCAAAAGTAGAATTCAATCACTAATGAAATGTTTAAAAAATATATATTAAACAAAAAAAATGCTTTTATAAGTAAAAAATAATCTTCCACAATGCAATAAATTGCAGATCACTGAAATTTTAACTTTTTGGATGATTTCAGTTCAGTTTTTTGGTTTCAAAATCCAGATAGTAAAGAAAATGTGCAGGCAGAATTTCTATCTGTTTTTGCGTTTTTCCTTCTTGCTTCGACTACTTGTGACACTGTTTAAAGATGATGACGACGGAGCTCTTGCATGACCTGTGGCCTTCAGATGTTCAAAAAGTTTATTCCGAGATGGAAATTCACTATGGCAGGTTGTACAGCTGATAAGGACATCAGTCTAAGAAGAGGAGAAAATCCATAAATAAAAGTATTATCATCTAAAAATAGCATTTTATGTTTTAATGTCAAGATTAAGCATAAAGAAAAGCAAAATAAAGATATTTTAATAACAGCTGCCAAAATAGGCTCAACAAAGGCAGCACGGCCCACCCTGTCAACTTCAAGGACCTGGGACTTTGAATAGCATGGATCCAATGGATTAGAATGGACAGAGTCTGTGCTTCACAGTCTTCAGAACTTAGCACATGTAACTCTTCTCACCAAGGCTTTAGATTGCAAAGTAATGGAGAAGACCACAGTAACTGTTCTTCTAGTACAGTCTACCAATCCCAATGGTGCTTCTCTTTACTTTAAAGAAAAACCAGCAGTGGTTTATATATAAATTCAGTACCCACCAAGTAGAACTGCTGATGGATCCACACCATTGCAGGTTCTACAGGGAAGGGTTCACTGAATACACATTTACATTGTTAAACCCTGTATTACTTAAGCAAGGTCAACTAAAGAGATGGGAAAATGATTTTGACCTACCACCGTCTGTGGTTCAGCAGGTACTTTGACAGTTTTCTTCATATCTTTGGTTTTCTTTCCTTTGGGTTTAGGAACACTAGAAAATAAAAGAATTCAGTATAATCCCCAAATAATGTGCCCCTTTTAATAGTCATCTTGCTCCCAAGAACACTCAAAATAGTGACTGAGATGCACCTTAAATTTAATTAATCTTCATATCTGAAATGAAGAGAGCAACTGTAGGAATCAAACTAAATGTAGCTTCAAAATTAAATCAAATTTGGCATAAAAATTAGGTAGTTTTCATTAAATAATTGGAAAAGATAAAGACCCCTAAAGTATCTTTAAACATCCATACAGTGTTTTCATAAAAAGAAATGCACTTAATACTCCATTTATTACAGCAAAATCATCTCCAGAACCTACCAGTAGTAGCCATAAGACATCTATGACATTAAGTGTGGTTTTAGTCTGATACCAACATTTCAACAAACCCACAGATGAGAAAAATAAACTTTGTAATGCATTTTTTCATAAAATTGAATTTGTTCAATATGAGGAATTTATTTTTATTAAGAAATTATGGCTTTTCTCCTGTTTGAGGGGTTTCCCCCCACTGTACCCTTTAAATCAGAAACTGACAGCCAGTGTGGTCGGCTTCTCCTACTCTGCTTGAACTCTTGAACATTCTCTACTGAGCCTCCTTCATGAGTTTTAATCTTCCATCACTTGTGCTAACCAAATTCATAGGGTAAAAGTCTTGCATCTACACTTATGAAGCAGACGGGGTAGATTACAGTGAATAAGTTATGATGATGCTTCTAAGCGCTTCATGGGTATACTATCTTTTAAGCAAAAATCAGGGGTCTGGCTCGGCACCTGTAGCTCAGCAGCTAGGGTGTCAGCCACATACACCAGAGCTGGCAGGTCTGAACCCAGCCCGAACCTACTAAACAACAACTAAAAAATAGCTAGGCATTGTGGCGGGTGTCTATAGCTTGGGAGGCCGAAGCAAGAGAATCAATTAAGCCCAAGAGTTTGAGGTTGCTGTGAGCTGGGATGCCAGAGCACTCTACTGAAGGTGAGATAGTGAGACTCAGTCTCACCAAAAAACAAACAACCACAACAAAAAAACTCAGGGGTCTATGTTGAGTTAAATGGCCTACACATTCAAAAGATGCAAATTAGGAGTACAACATGACATTATGCAGTATTCAATCAGCTTTGAAAACATCAAGAAAAGGACACGATAGCATAAAAGAGAACAGGTAACATACTAATTTACAAAATAGCATCACAGATATGCCACAAATATGTTTAGGAAAATTTAGAGTAATATGCCTGGCAAACAGTTTATCATATTATGAAAGATAGCTACCCTATGAAGACAATATCTAAGACCTTCATTTAAAAGAAAAATACTGGGCAGCACCTGTGGCTCAAAGGAGTAGGATGCTGGCCCCATATACCCAAGGTGGCGGGTTCAAACTCTGCCCCAGCAAAAAAAAAAAAAATTCTACACACACACATTTTTTAATAAATCAGTTCTCAGCAGACAGCCCCCCAAGCTCCACACCACTCCAGGGAGGCAGCAGAGGCGCCCAGCAGAGAGGCCAGAATGTCCGGGGGTGGGGAGTGTGCTGTATCCACCCACCCCTGCCATTCCTCAGTAGTGAAGACGTCACTGGAATTCTCTGAATCCTTTTCTCACATCAGTAAAATGAGAAAACTCAACTATTAATGTATCAGTGGTTACACAAGTCTGAGAATCCTCTTTTTTCCCCCAAATGAATTCTCACGTGGAAGTAACACGGAAAGCAAATGAAGAAATTCTAGCTCTAGATAAAGAGCTCAGGGGCCCCCAGTGCCCTCTTGGCTCTCCCTTCATGCCTGCCAAGCAACACAAGTCACCGTTACAGAACACTAAGGCCATGGGCTAGATGGCCAGGCGCTTTCAAGCCGTCAGGCAGACAGGAATTAAATGCCAGCTTTTCCACTTACCAGCTTTTGTCCTTCAGCAAGTCACTTAAGCTGAGATTCAGTTTCCCCATATAAAATGGGAACAAACACCGCATCAGAGTGAAATAAATGGGAATTTCCCCTTCCAGGCTTCTACTTGTCCAAGTTCTTCAAAGCTTGGACATCCAAGTTTTGTGCAGTCCCTTAGCTTCCTGCTTCACAGCCAGAGCCCTAATGTCGGCCTCAGCCTGTCTGTGTCCCTCACTGCCACTGCCTAAATTCCCGAACCCACGGCGTGTACCCAGCAGCCCATCACTGTTGCTCCGGCATTAAACACTTAACTCATGCTCCACATTACGCCATCACTTTCACTCTTTTTTGTGGTCCTATAATGACAGGAACCCGAGGCTACTTACTGTTCAGATCTGTTCTCAAAGAGCAAGAAATGATTTTCTACTGCAGAGAACAGAGGAGATAGAGACAAGAAAGTCAGACAAGGAGCAGGAAGCAGAGGGCAAGGAGCGGCTACCTCCCCAGTGAGCCCGTCCCCATCCCCCACCATGGCCTTGTGCCGCCCAGGAGTCCAGGGCTCCTTCTAGTGGGCAAGCTGCAAGCTGCTCCTGTGTATCCTGACAACCCTGCGGTGTCCGATACAGGCTGTCACCAGCACGCAGAAGTCTTGTTCTCATGACAGCATCAAGAACTGCTGATCCAGGACAAAATAAGAACCATGGCAGGAAGCAATAATGGCATTAAAGTGACTTCTTTCTGATTTTGTCATGTTGCTGAAATGGCAGAGCACATTTCTCTAGTACTGTCTTTCTGACACGCTTCCTCTAATTCATCTGTGGGAGTCGATGTCTGCACATATGTACACAGATCCCTATCTTACTTTATTCAGTCATGGAAAAGAGATCGCATTTGATATATGGCAGGCTGTCCTTGCTGTTAGTATTCAGTAATTATAAAACATGCAACTCTGACCGACCTCTTAGCTTCACTTTTTGCATCATCACATGGTTCAACGGTCTCTGTGACACCAGCATTTTCTTGGGAACTGTTTTCCAATTCTTTGGCATTGTCTTGATTTAAGTTAGGATCTTCTGGGTCAATTTTTACTCTTTCTCCAGTTCCATTTTCATTGAAATTGTCGTCATAATCCTAGGTAGTAAAACACAGATACCATTACAAAATAAACGCCACGATCGTTACGCTGCCAGGTGGTCACAAACGATGGCGATGCCCTGTGTGCTCCAGTAGGAGAACGCTGCCCAGGAACAAAAGGGAGAAGCAGGCAAATTAAGAACATGGACACTCACATTAGAGACATTAAATTGGGAGAAACTGGAAACAATCCAAATGTTCAATAAGTAAATGGTTGAATATATAAAGGAAAATTTTGAAGTGCTTAAAAACCACTTTTTCCTAACATATTAGTTAATTATGTAAAAAATACAAGATGTTAGCAAAAATTGAAGACAGAAAATTATACGTACAGTTGAATCACAATTTAATTCAATATTAAGTAATCTCTACAGGAAGAATTAAGGATGATTTTTATACTTTCATTTTCCAAAGGATCAGCAATGGGCAACTATCAAGTCTACAGTCAGGAAAAAGAACAAACAGGCATTACAGATGAAAGATGCCTCCCAAATATATCTTTACTAACTTCAGCGGTCTGTTTTTGTTTAAGTTTTTGCTACCTTTGTGTACCCTCACCCCTCACTCCCCTTCTCTTTCTCAGCAAAAAGATTTCCCCTGAACTATCTGAAAGGCAGCTGCAGACAGATGTGAGTCTTGCCACGCACGTCTAAGAACAAAAATATTCTCTGACAGATACACGCAACTCTCTACATTCAAGGAATTTTACACTTATATCATTTTTTTACACAATCCTCATTCAAAGTTACCACTTGATCCTTTTTCTGTAATCCCTGACAAGAGATTAATTTAGAATCACAAGCTGCTTTTAGCTATTGAATCTCCTTAATCTCCTTTATTCTAGAACAGTCCCACTTGTTTTTTCTTTCATGACAATTTGATGACTGTTTTATAAAATGTCCCATAATTCAGCTACGTCTGATTGTTTCCAAATGATTAGATTCACATTTCTAGCAACGATACTACAAAAACAAGACTGAGAGGCAAAATGTCAGTTCATCCCATCATCTTTCAGTGATAATAAGTTTGATTGTTTGGTTAGAGTAGTATTGCCAGATTTTCTACTGTAAAGTACCTTTTTCCCTTTTTTGGTAATCTAGAGGGTATAACTTTGAGACTGAATATCCTATTCCCAATAACCATTCACCGGATGAGTTTGGCATCTATTCATCAATAGACTTTTGTCTAAACCATTTATTAATACTGGCAGCTATAGAATAGTGATCTTCTACCTCTGTTACATGTGCCATTTGCACTTGTAATAACTCATTCTTTTATAACAATAGAGCTTTCTGTCTTTCTCCAGCTCTTTTTTAAACTCAGTATAGATACAAAAATCAATGTATAAAAATCTGGCTCTGCGCCTGTGGCTCAGGTGGCCAAGGAGCCAGCCCCATACACCTAAGGTGGCGGGTTCAAATCCAGCCTGGCCCGCCAAACAACAATGATGGCTGCAACCAAAAAATAGCTGGGCGTTGTGGCAGGCGCCTGTGGTCCCAGCTACTTGGGAGGCAGAGGCAAGAGACT